ATATGTCCGACTGGCAGGTTTCATCTGACCTTGACCTCGTTTCATGGTTCATTGGTCAGTGTTAAGTTTTCATGGTGTTGTCTATCTATCGGTTAAGTCTGTTCCTCGGATACTATTAGCATTAGGTCAACTATATTTGATATATGGGATGATTTCATGGTGTACATGCATGTTCATCATCATGTTGTCTAGATGGGTTCATCTGACGATGACCTCATTTTATGGTTCATTTGTCAATTTTCAATTTTCACAATTAAGTCTGTTTCTGGATCATTAATTGGTAATGTTATGTGTTTGTGATACTTGTAGTAAACCCTTTTTATTTACAGACTTTCAACATGATTGTATAATGAAATGTAAAGCAGGCGAGACATTTCAGCCTTTGCACTCTTGTCTCTTGTTTTCAATGGAATTCATGAGCAACACTCATTCATGAAGCATCTTCAGGATAAGAAATACTTTTTTTAGTTTTAAGTTTTATTTAAATTCAAGACCCCGTGCACAGAGGCCTCCTGAGTATGTGAAAAAAACAAAATTATCATCATAAACATATCATCATTACATAATTACAGTAAGGATGTTGATACACATGTGATAGAATATGGTTAAACATATGATATTCATAATTGGTGAAGAATTTGGAGACAATATGCTAATTTGTTCCCGGTAGTACAATTTTGGATTTTTTTTCAAACTCAATGTTGGCCGGAATCAGAACATAATGCATTAAACATGTCTTTATATTGGGTCTTGGTAGATAGTTAGGAAGTAACTGTTTTTTTCCTGCCAGATGCCCCCAAAAAATCATATAAAAAATATAAAGAAATTCATCCCCAGTTTGTTGTGAATCACACCGGTAACATATCCTAAGTATCATCAAGTACCACCCGAAATACTTTATTTTCCATACCATGTTGGGTTTTAAAAATATCTATTACTCAAACAGATAGGTGAGAAGTGAACATCAGATTTGTTTAAAATTGTCGCATACTAGTAGTCTTTAACTACTCCGATGATAATTTCAGAATGGAGTAGACTGACTTTTACTTTGTGATAACCAATATCCAGACATGCCACATTCAATAATTACAGTCTCTATCTGAGTAATTCAATCAGAAATTCAATCAGAATAAAAATTACCTGTAACATGCAGATTACATATCAAGTTATATAAAATAGAACTCATCTCTTCTTTTTTTGCGCATCTTATCATTATTTTCCAAAAACAAAACCAAAACAATGATTTTAAACTTTTAAAAAATATCCACCCGATAACGATCTATTTCACTACTGTATATGATATGCCAGTTGGTGTAGATTTTTTCATTTTTTAAATATCTGAAACCTTGGACCAATAGATAAATATATTTTAGACTCCTCCTAAATGACATCATCCAGATGCTATATTTTCTAATAATTTAATTTTGGATGTAACGCGTCTTCTGATTGGCTGACGTTGTTTGTTTATCAGCTCATAGACATAATTTTGTCATGTGACCGTGACGTCATCAACGTTTTTTCATGGTTTACTCCGGTTTAAAATGGAATTTAGAATTAAATTATAAGAAATGACTGTAATATTTTTTCTGTCTATTCGAAATAACATAAAAAATATGGTGCACACTTTAAAATAACCTGCTACGCGGGTTATTCAGTGTGCACCACATTTTTGGTGTTATTTCTTCATAGACAGAAAAAATATTACAGTCATTCCTTAAATGAAAAAAATATTTGTAACGTTTGGGGGACGTGTTTTTTAACATACGGTTGATATTCCTATGGAACGAACTGTGCTGTTTTTCTCGTCGACTTGTTCCTTCATTCCCATGAGACAGACTTCATACGGAGGTTTCTCAAGAACTTGAGATAGAAACGAAGCTGAACGACTACCGTAATCTCTTAACTTAAAGTTTTGCTGTGTAGATGAGGTTCTCGCTCTCTCAATTTATCACAGTTTGATTACTTATATTGATCGCATCTACCAAATCTTGATTAACTCGAAATAAAGGATACATGACAAACACATTTGGGTCTGCTTTCGATCTTGACTTACATCTTCACAATTGGGGTCAAATGAATTGACTGAGCTAAACTGTAATAAAGACCAAAGAAAAAACGTCAATTTTCCCATTGTGAACTTCCATTTGTATTAAGAAACATTCCAGTTATATACACCTGCCTATTGAGAATATCACATCTGGGAAAAGTAATGCCAATACATTATGTCCCAGATATAATACAGATATTTCAAGACTTGTCATTCTATCATGACCCTTCCTTGATAGATGGTTCAATCGGCGACTGATCATTAGCGGCAATTAAGGTTCAATGGCTCTTTTCACAAAAAAATCTAAAGAGCAAAAAAATTCGTAAGTCATACACATTTCAGTATGACTTACGATCAATTTTAATCGTACAATTTTTTGAGAAAAGAGTCGGTGGTTCAACAACTAGTTAGCTTGTATTTTGGAGACGGAAACTCAGACGATATAATTAACTATATACTAATTATTTGATTGACCGTTATAGAATATCCTTGAAACAATTGACTACATGGATATATTCAAGACAGTTGCCCAAAGACATATTTGATGTATATGTCTCTGACTTAATGGCTGAATAGACATGCAGATGGAGAGTTGTCTCATTGGCCCTCATACCACATCTTCTTATATCTATCGAAGAGACGTAGACATCGAAAAATGTATTTTGATTTGGCATAATATAAAACATATAAACATGAGCGCTGGTGAGCTTTCTATCCAATATAAAAACGTATACATAACAAATAATACAAAGCATCGTGCATATATAGAACATACAAATGAATAAAGACATGCAAAAATCAAAATAACAGATTTCTAGCAATTTTATACAAAAATTCATAAATTTATAAAAAAAAAAAAAAAAAACTGTTTTTGACCAAAACAATCAGCAGCTCATGTGGCAAACGCCTCTTTGGGTCACCTGACAGCAAGTCAGCAGCTGCTATAATCGAGAAGTGAAAACATAAGCACAAGATAGCAAAGCAATTCATATAAGCTAAACATTTGAGTTGATAACTATATAAAGAAAGTAATATATTAATAAACAAATCAAAAAATAAAATAACAAATAAGTTGCAGAGCTGACAGTATAATTATAGTAAAGACTTAGAAATCAAATGCATGCGAGACAGTGACATTGTACTTACACGAACAACACGACGGGTGCCACGTGTGGAGCAGGATCTGCTTACCCTTCTGGAGCATCTGAGATCACCCGCGTTTTTTTTTGGTAGGGTTCATGTTGCTCAGTCTTTAGTTTTCTATGTTGTGTTTTGTATGCTGTTGTTTGTCTTTTGGTCTTTTTCTTTTTTTGCCACGGCGTTGTCGGTTTATTTTTTACTTATGAGTTTGAATGTCCCTTTGGATTCTTTCGCCTCTCGTTTCGAACCATTCTAAGACTGAATCAAGTTTTTAAATTGAGAAAAACTCTTATTTGTCCTGAAATGGACTGGAAGACTATTCCACAGTGTAGCTGCAGCAAATTTAAACAATTTTAGAAGTAGATGTTCTTACTCGGGGAACATCTTATGTATTACTGTATCTAAAAGAGTATTTTGTAGGTTTAACTTTTAGAAGACTGTTCATACAAGAAGGAGCAATATTATATATATAATACTATTAGTTTCTAAGGTCATGATAGTCCCGATTCTGCTCACCAGAAGAATTGAAACCTTTCCCTTGTGTACAAGTTGTAAATATGTGGAGTTTGTAGTCATCATACACAAATCAGAATGCTCTTTCTTGCACTTTTTTTTATTTTGTGGTATTTCTCAGTTCAAAAATGCCAAGCCAAAGGGCAAACATTTAAATTACTCAATATAAAAGTATGAAAAATGGTGAGTTTATCTAATTTGGAAAAAAAGTTGGTTTTAAAATATTTAGCTGCTGAGATGCCTTTCTATGCAAATTACTGAAGTAATATGTAAATCAAAATTTAACTGATAGTCAATGTCTATGCCACAGTTTCGCAAGAATAAATATGATTTTGAATATGAATTCCGTAGATATTCAAATTATCCAGAACATTACTGAAATCATAGTTGCTGATGGCAAACACGCTTAATAAATTAGCTAATATGAAAAACCACTATCGGATAGAAATGGACTACTCTGATAAATATATAAAATCATTAATTTTGTAATGTAATCTGTATTAATTTACTCTTATTAGATATTCTCCCTGGATACCTAATAACTAATATACCAGGGACACTTAGTGCAATGATGTACACTAAGTAAATTGTTAACAGCAATAGTGTGCAATAACATATATTAGTCATGTAAAAAAGAAAGAATATGAATTCATGGGCTCCTCTCAAAAGACTTGTTGCCAATTGCTAATACCTTGAATTTGTCAGGATTAGCTTGCATTTCATAAGATTCAATCCAGCCAATTATTTTTTTTAGATGAAGATGAAGCTTTTCAAAATCAGGAATACAGAACGATAACGTGTTGTAATCTGCGTGGTTATACAAAGAGCTCTGCTTAATAAAATAAAAAATATCGTTTAAACAAATGTAAATCACAGCTCTCAGGTCCACTGAAGAATAGAACCCTATGGCACATCTTTCTGGATGTCCGCCAAACTACTAGTTTGTTTCAAACTTTTATTTGTTGTTTTCTATATGATAAATATGAATTTTAAAAGCACACTGAGTGAGAAAAAACACCATTAAATGATAGTTTGTCAAGTGAAATGTCATGAGGTAAACATGCAGTCAATTAAAACTGCAGCTTCTGTATAACGATTGAATCAAGAGCCTCTCCAATCCTCTAAAAGTCTATGTAGTGTGGTCTGACATCCACGACATCCCCTAAAGAACACAAATGAGGATTATGAATTTGGCAGAAAAATCTTTATGAACAAAATTGGGGTTTGTAGATTTGTTTGGTCTGTTATCACATTCAAAAGTTTTAGGTAAATTGCGAGATCTTGTCTTTTCCCACGTGACTTACAAAATGGCAGACGACATGAAAGCCATGGATGGCGCTCATATACTTTGTACTGCACTGAAAGCTCAGGTTTACAAACTACTTATAACTATTTCTTACTTATGTAAAACTGATATTTTTAATCAACCTTTTGAGAAATTGTTCACACGCGATTGATACTTATGTCGGACGGTGAATGTTCAACCAGATTTGAAGTTCTAAATTTTGACCTTTTCGCTTTTGTTTAGCAAGCTTAGCCTTAGACGTTTTATTTAATTTCAAAGAACAAATAATGTTCGTTCTCATTATGATACTAGTTATTTCACTCTTTCAAAATCCATGCCTTTACAATAACTATCAGTTAACATATCGTGAAAGACTGGTGAAAAAAGAGGAAAGAGCGATAGAAGTGTTGCCAAATTTTACCCCTTGCTCAGCCATCCTTAGATCTTTCAGTCTCGGTAGATATGTTCCTGTCAAAATGTTTCATGCAATCAAATGATAGTATGAATAGTATTATGATATTATTAAATTATAAAGCAGGTGTTATACATGTATATGTATCTCACTATCTGTGAAATAGCATAGGGCAATTGTAAGAATATGTACAGACCCAATTTCAGCTTCCTTATGGCCAGTAGGGTATCCTATCAGGGCACTTAGATTTGATAGGGGTCTGTTTGCCAAAAATCTAAGTTTTTTTATTGTTTTGAAATATAGTGACATTAAAACGTTAACAGGTTTTCTTTATAGTGTTTTGTGAATTAATTTGACGAAATGAATAATGAATACTTTCATGATGATCAAAGGCCAAGTTCATTCATCTAAGATTGTAAAAAAGAAAGGCGAAAGATATCAAATGGCTATCAAACTGGTCACAATGCCATTACCACAACAACAACGAATAACAAAATAACCAGGCCACAAAGTGCATGTTTATTAGGTGTTCATGGTGTTGCATTTATAAGTTGCTACAGAGCATTTATTTCCATGTGTATAGAAAACTAAGGTACCAACATATGTATTATGTAATTATGCTTATTTGGTGTTGTATTACATCTATCAGTTTATATCATGCATGTAGAGCAGACACATATAATTCATTAATGTATTATATGTCTCTGTATAGATCATTTATTTCCATGTGTAAAAAATCTTGAAGCAATCATAAGCATCAACAATAGCCTTAATCGAAAACAAAAAGAGTACGAAAATACTTAGGGTAACTACACCCAAGCTAGTTATACCAGTAACAACAATCATGATTTTCAAATACATAACCTTAATACTAAATTAGCTTTGTAAATACAAATTGACAGAAATAATTAGTAATTAACATTTAATAATTTATCATCTAATCACTAAAAAAAAAACTCCATTTAAAAAATTAACGAATTTTTATTCATGAAAGTATAAGTATTTTGATATACAGGTACATTTAATAATTCAATTTGTATTTGAATACAAATGAGGTGTGAACGTGTAGGGTGCAAACGAACCCAGGAGTGAACATTTGGGATGCGAACATGTAGGGTGCAAACATGTCATGCATGTTATGGGAGCAAAAGGACCCGACACCCACAGATTTGTCTGAAATTATCTATCCATTTGTCGTGTGAACATCACCTGGACATTCCAAATTTTATGATTTGGAAATTAAAAAAGGACCACATGATAATCCCTTATGGAAAAATAAGGCTTCTTGCAAATATTTGCGGCAATGTTGCTGCAAATATTCATTTTTCGTATGTAAATTAGTTTTCTTGCAAACAGTTGCTGCAATATTGCCGCAACAATTTGCGGCAATATAATTTCTTGCAATATTGCAGCAACATTGCAGCAAATCTTTCAACAATTTCAGTTGAAAAATTAGGAATTAAAAACTAAGCATTTAAAAAAGTATGATTTAATAATAAAACAAAATTTTCTCTGTCCTCTATAGGTTGTTGTGTAACATATCTGTGTATCCTTTAGTTCTGTTTCTCTGTACTCACTGTAATAAAAAAAAGTTGAAGAATTTAGCATACATTAAAAGAATAATTAAACATTATAAAGATATAAAGATATAAGTTACTACTATATATTGTAAATTCTGGACTTGTAAAATGAAAATAACTCTTTATAAATAGATGATTACAGACCAATTTTTCCAGCATTTGTTTCACTTAAAGGGGTCAATGTCTAAAAGTGATCAAGTCCTTCTAGAAATTGCATATTACTATAGAATACATTTAACCTTATGCCAGTACTAGGTTGTTATTGCTTTTTTGAAGATTTGTTTTTCATTGAACTATAACATTATTGGTCTTGTCTATTCTTTAAAATTTTTGTGATTAGTTGTGTATATATAAAAGCTAAATATTGTTGCCATTTGTTGATAGACCTCTTATTGGCAGTCAAATCACAGATCTCTAATTTAATACCAAACTGCTTTTATTAGAAGATTTCTTGTTTCAATTTAAGTAATGTACTTTCTAAAACATATAGTCTTAAAAAAATATCTCCTGTCTTACACAATTTTAATAATATTCAAGTGCATAAATCTATTGTCTTATACTTTTGTCAACTCTATTAAGTTAAGAAAACTCTTTAAATATCACTATTTTGAACTGTAAGAGCAAGCACTTATTCAAAATGGTGGACATTCAACTCCATTGTACTTACCAAAAAATGTTATCCAAATTATGTGTAAACACCAATCTTCCTAAATCCCAGAGTCATGTCAACTGAAGGCTATCATATGCACTATCCAGTGTCAATAGAATTAGTTGGAACTTTTGGATCTAAATCCATTGTAAAATTCATATTACTTTGTTCATGATAGAAGACATCTTTGTTTGTTGTATAAGATAAGATATTTTTTTTTTTTTTTAAGATATTTTATTTCCAATTATGGGCCCCAAAGGGCATAAACATTACAACATCAATAATTTTTTCATAATACAATACAAACAATGAGATAAAAAAAAAAAAAAAAGTTAAACGAGAACTATTTAAGTTCTTAAAGAATACGTAGATAAAGAATCTATAGTATGTTGTTTTTTTTTTAATACTAATTCATTTTATTGCAAGTGTGGTTGATATAGATAACAAACAAGCATGTATATATGCATGCATGTTCATGTCCAGTTCAAATTTTGAATATGTTGATCAAGGTTGCTTAGGGTATTGTGACAGTGTGATCCCTTTGAAATTTGCCCCTAATTATCAATTGCCTAAATCTTGAATATTTGTTATATATTATAATAAAAAAAAATTATATATATATATTTTTTTTTATCTTTGATGTTATAAGTTATAATGGAAATATATACAAAGAAGAAATGCTCTACCCTTAATTTGGCCTCAAACTCTGTGTACATTAATTTATGGTACTCCCTGTCTTTACCACTACACAGCGATAAATGAAAACCAGATGGCACATTACATTTCTATCACCAGCTCATATTACTAATTGAGATGAGAAAGATAATTTGTGTATACATAGTTTTAAAATAATGATACTAGAAATTGAACAAAATGCAACCTGCAGGTGAGGCTAAATTCATTTGATGGAAAATATTAGAATTAAAAATATTGTTCATAGAAAAATGTCACAAAAAAGTGACAAAAAGGCATAATGATACATGTAGAACAAAAATTATTATGACTCAATTATTTAGATTAAACTTGTTGAAATAAATACCAAAGTATTCTTGAAATTCTTTCCTTACAAAATATCATATAAATGTGATGTACAGTTTAGGAATTCTAAAAATATAAGCATTGTTATTTGAAGATTTATTTAAAATAGTATTATTAAATTATTCAAATATCAAGATATTTCTGAGTAAAATAAAGTATGACGTACGACAACAAATTTAGATAGTTAGAAGTATCCATAACCAAATGTTCAAAAAAACAATATGTTGTGTATTATTTGCACCTTAAATCTTAAAACAAATAATCATATGTAATATTTTAAAATGCTTGAAATATTGGTGCAAACTATCTGATTGTCTGACATTATTAAAGAAACTTTTCTTGCAAAGTTGTTGCAAAAAGTCATTCCTTAAATAATAAAAGAAAAGGTTCCTGCAACTTTCTAGCAAACAAATTCTTTCTTGCAACATTGCAGCAAACTTGCTGCAATTTTCTTGCAAACAAATTTTGTTGCAGTAACATTGCGAGAATGTTGCAGGTAGCTGCAACAACCTGCAACTTTCTTGCAAACACTTCTTGCAAACAAATTTGTTTGCTGCAATATTGCCGCTATATTGTTGCAATATTGCAGCAAACTTTTCATTTCTGTAAGGGATATCATTAAAATTTAGATTAAAACCTTCAGTGAAACATTACGAGATAGCCTATCATAATTGATCAATTGCCAGCAAACTTTAAATTCCTGTATTATGTGTACTGGATTAGATAGATGGAATACCACATGTATAAACACACTAATTATTAATGCAGCCTATATATAATGTTTGCAGGGAGTTGAGTACATGTTTGGAATTGTTGGAATTCCAGTCACAGAAATAGCAATGGCAGCACAGGAACTGGGAATAAGATATATTGGGATGAGAAATGAACAAGCAGTAAGTATATGTTCAAGCCGGAATGCCTTTTACTTGAAAATGGTGTTTCTAAAATAAATGTTTTACCACTTCACCTGATTGAAATGTAATACATGTATGTATGAACAGATTAGTACTGGACAGCAACATTTGGTTCTAACATCTTGATCTTATTTACGTATACTGTTTAATCATTTATAACCAGACGCAAGTAAATCATACTAAAGACACCATTTAATAAGTTTATTGTAATTTTTCTCTGTATTATTCAGTGAAAGATTGGCAATAAAGATTTTTTATTCTATATAATTTATTTTAAATTTTTTATAGAGAGTGGAAAATAAGGTTTGCCTTCCCTCAGACCAAGTTGACCTCAAATGATGGTTTCAGTTGTTCTGTTAAGGCTGTTTAGGTTTTTTTTGCAATAAAACATATATTTGGCCTTCAAAATTGGGTTGTTTAGTAGCCAATGCTGCTGTATTGGTATGATTTAAATGATACATTTTGACTGTTAATGTCTTGCTGATAAATAAAGCAGTTGTACTATAGCTAAGTGAAGCTGATCATAGACAGTTTCTAGCATTTCTGTAAAGGTTATATTGTTTATATGCCATCACAGGTATTAGCTTTGGCTTTCCAATCTTTATATCTCAAGCATACCTGATAAACTTTATGTTATTCCAGTAATGTTTCATTTACACATATTTCAGTATCATCTGATTTTTTTTATTATCTCCAGAGACAACAATAAAATGATGATTTGTAACAGTAATGTTAATTAACTAGCTACACAGTTTTTAAGGACCTTGACTACTCACGATGGTCTTGCACTATCAGTAATGCTAGTTGAACTTGTTGGGTCTTTCATATGTCTTCGGTTACTAAAGAAGCTATGAACAGGCTGTTTTTTAATCCTTTTATTATAGTGTATTTTTGTATTATGATATATTTGTAATTATGACAAATGAATATGTTTAAACCAATGTGAACATGGATTTGAGGTAAGAGAATGAGGAAATAATCCATTACACAAAATATAGGGTATCGCAGACAAAAAATTTGAGATCGTCAAAGAAATTTATATTTTACTTCAAAATGAAATGTTTCTGTTCTGTATTTGCAACAGTTTAAGAGAAGCTTTAAAAATTAAATCCACATTCAAAATTGTCTAAGGGTTTACTACATTAATGCTCTTTCTTTTGCAAAGTTGAAACATTTCTTATGGACACAAAATAGAAAAATTAAACACACATATTTTCTATTTTGTAGGCATCCTATGGTGCTTCAATCATTGGCTATATGACAAGAAAGTAGGTATACTTTATAATATGCTTGGTAAACTTAACAAGTCTAAACTTAAAAAGAAATTTCACATTTAAAAAATTCAAAAGATGAATTTAAAATGATGAAATGAACGAAAGAATGTTAGAAATTAAAAAAAAAAAAGAGAATAGAAGAAAATAGATCACCCTCCCCTTTAATAAAGATTCAACACCAAAGAGGTGTACAAATGATACAGCAAATTTACAGCTAAATTTGGCAGAAGGAACTCTCTCAATAAGTCTGGAGTGTTGTTGAGTGCTCAGAAATATTTGGCATATATATTTTATTTATGATATTCTAGTCCTTATTCATTCTGGTAGAGGAAGATTGTGTATTGCTTACAAATATTGAATTAAACAGTTATAAAATTATTACTTTTTATGATATCAACTCAAGAACCTCAACTTTGAAGTTTCTCTTTATTCAAGTTGTCACACTAAATTGGAAAATGTCATCATCATTTTCATTTGAGTCATAATTTAGTTTATACATGTACCTACCTCTCTCTATAAATAATTTATAAACTGACAGATTTAAGTTTTGATCTTTTATATTTTAATATGATGAACTTGAACATTACTTGTGGCTATATTTTTATTACAATTACAACTGCTTTCTGAAAAGATCAGTATATAGTGATGTGGAGTCCTTTCCTTTGTCAGTTCCTCCTGAAACATATGGCTGAATTTTTATGAAATTCATAGAATATTACTTTGATTAACTTTAAGTTTTCCCATAGCTAATCAATGACTTTGCCATTGCTTTATGTTGGGCCAGTATAATTTTGTGAGCTTTGCTGGCTGTACCTCTAGTTTGTGTAATATTTTGTTGCAGTTTTTATGACAATATAGTGTTATAATTTCTAACATTTATTTTTAGACCAGCTGTTTGCCTGGTTGTCTCAGGACCAGGACTGGTACATGCCTTAGCTGGCATGTCAAATGCTATGGAAAACTGTTGGTAAATGGAATGAATATACTTTCGACTCTTGTTATTTCAAAGTTGATCAGATTCAGAAAAATAATTTGACGAAACAGAAATTCTGAGATATCAGGAGTAAATATAATATTTTATCAATTTGGAGTGACGCTTTGCTTTGGAACTTTGAGATGACACTAGTCACCTGTATTCGGAAGAAAAGAATAAAAATGATGTTGAGATTCCTCTTAATTTATTAAAGTTCTTTATCATATGTTATTTATTGTCCAAACACAACAAAGTTCTGTAAGGAGATATGACAACACTAACATGAAGAAGACCAAATGTCCTAAAGCAACAACACTTTTATTGCTGTTCTTCACCCCAAAGTCACACTGAGGCTTTCAACATGGAGCAAGCACTCACATCTAACTGCATGTTCAAGACAGCCCCTTGTAAGGGTCTGAGTGAATTCTTTGCAGATGTCGATCATGCTACATTTGTGAATTCATGAACACAGCTTAATATCAACAAATTGAAAACACAGTAACCAAATATTGATTTTTAGTATTGATACAATATATTGCATACAGTACTTTTTATTGGCAATTGAATTACTGATTTTTTTAATTTTAGAGTTATGTATTTTATTTCAACTATTGTTACAGTTAAAAAGTTTGTAAAATTGTACAAAAACATTCTTGACCTAAAAGACAGGTTGTATCAGATACAAGATGATACAAAGTTTGGATGGTTGGAAATAAATATGTGTCTATATTAAAATGCATACATAATGATTGAGATAATAATTTGGACTACTTTTGTATCAGGCCAATGATTGTGATTGGTGGATCTAGTGAACAAGATCAGGAAGGGATGGATGCCTTTCAGGAGTGTCCTCAGGTAACTAAAAACAGCAAATATAGTTACATTTGATATATCAGAGAGATGACTAAATCTAAAAAAGTATAATTATTTTAGGAATTTATTAGCAGGTTTCTTTTTTAATAATTTTTGCTATACTTATGTTTTGTGAAAAACATAATGTCAACATACCACGAAGTAGACATAATGGTTTTTATCACTTTATCTGTTGTGTTTAAATGACCAATTAGTGTGAAATTTTAACTCATTTGATTGGTCGCTTATAGAAGGCTTATATTGGTTTTGAAAATAGGAGTAACTAAATAAAAGATCATGTAAAAAAACGTACAGGTCTACATGCTGTCAACATTTGGAAAAGGGTACATATATGATCCCCTTTTAAAAAATATGTTTGTTGACCCTAACTGTCATTAAATTTGGATGCCTTTGTGCTTGTTTGTTTTTTTAATTTGGGGAGAGGGGTGCATGAGTCTGATTTAAATTGAAGTCTGCATGTTTAAATGAAAAAAAAATTTTTTTTTAAATTATTTTGTTGTAAGCCTTCACCAGAAGCTATTTGATATATTTTTATTTTTGCATAAGGAGTTTTAATGATGTGGCATATTTTTTGTAGGTTGATATTGCACGTCCTTTCTCAAAATATGCAGCAAGACCAAATAAGGCAGAAAGAATTCCTTTTTATGTTGAAAAGGTAAGGCCTTGGCTCATACCTAAAGGTTAATGAAAAGATCTCAAAGTTCTCAAAATGAGGCAATTTTGCAGTTTTGAATTAAATGCAAGAAGTTTGAAGTTCTACTACTAATGTGTATTAATAAAAAAATATAAATACATGTACTGATATCTGACAGACATTGTTTTATGACCTTCTGAAAGATGATATTTAATAGATTTATAATACTGTTTTATTTTGAAATTCAAGGGGCAAAAACGTGGCCATATCAACTTCTTCATATAACAGTTTTATGATATAAATACTATACAGAATTTGCAGTTCAATTAAGCGCAAATATAAAGTATAGCAATGATTGCAATTTGGAAACAAAACAGTCCTCAGATGATAACTTCAGCTTGCTTTAGAAGCCCATTACAGTTCGCTTGTTATAACTGCCCATGTAGGTTCAGAGTTCAGACAACATAATACTAGTGTTATCCTTGTATTTCTACAAATCCTTCTGGAAGTACAACACAGACTACAAATTTTTCCTTCACTCTCAGTGTACATCTATTGGCTCTGCCAACCTTTTACTGGATTATTTATTTTCAAACTTTGCAGTGGATTAATGAGTTTCACACCAGTGCATATGTAAGGGACAATATTTAGAAAAATGTTTGTTTAAGAAAAACTTAATGTACTTATAGTTTTACGGGAATAAAGGTTTCTCCACAACAACTCAAAACCTTACTTGGAACTGGAAATATACTTAGATAGAAAGTAACATGTATTGAGACAAAGATTTCTTTAAATTTTGAGATCAATACCTAGAACCTCAGATTACTAAAAATAAGTTTTAGATTTGTGCATAAATGTTTTTTTAGCCTGAATAAATGGAATCTTACCTATAATTGGAATAATACTTGGATAAATTTTGATTTTAGAGGCTTTTATTAAGTTTTTTTTTTCTTCATGTAAATGGTTTTATTGTCGAGCATGCGACTTTTGTCGCAGAAAGCTCGACATAGGGATAGTGATCCGTTGGCTGCGGCATTACAATACTTCTTAAAAGCTTAATATTTCAGAAGGTAGAAGACCAGGGTGCTTCATACTTTTTATGTAGATGCCTTATGATATGAAGTTTCCGTCTGTCATATGTCCAATGTCCTTGACTTCATTTTAATGGTTCGGTGACTACTTGAAAAAAAAGTTCAGATTTTTTGTCAGGTTAAATTCTCTCTTATTATGAGTAATAGGATAACTATATTTTGCAAGGTGTTACCTTGCAATGTCCTAATGCAGGTCAGACAGTTTTCACTTGACCTCGACCTCATTTCGTGGATCAGTGAACAAGGTAAAGTTTTCTTGGTCAAGTCCATATCTCAGATACTATTAGCAATAGGTCTACTTTATTTGATGTATGTAATGATTGTAAGGTGTACATGTCCAACTGGCAGGTGCCATCTGATCTTGACCTCATTTTCATGGTTCAGTGGTAATAGTTTAGTTTTTGTGTTTTGGTCTGTTTTTTCTAATACTGCATGCTATAGGTCAACTATATTTAGTGTATGGAAATATTTTACGATGTACATGTCAGTCTGGCAGGTTTTATTTGACCTTGACCTCATTTTCACAATTTATTGCTCAATGTTTAGTTTTTGTGTTTTGGTCTGTTTTTCTAATAATGTATGCAGTAGGTCAACTATATTTGGCATATGGAAATATTTTTCTGATGTTCATGTCAGTCTGGCAGGTTTTATTTGACCTTGACCTCGTTTCATGATTCATTGCTCAATGTTAAGTTTTTGTGTTTTGGTCTGTTTTTCTAACACTGTATGCAAAAGGTCAACCAAATTTGGTGTATGGAAATATTTTATGATGTATATGTCAGTCTGGCAGGTTTTATTTGACCTTGACCTCATTTTCATGGTTCATTGCTTATGTTAAGTTTTTGTGTTTTGGTCTGTTTTTCTTAAACTTTAAGCAAAAGGTCAACTATATTTGGTGTATGGAATGATTGTAAGGTGTATATGTCTGTCTGGCAGGTATCATCTGACCTTGACCTCAGTTTCATGGTTCATTGGTCAATGTAGAATTTCTATGGTTTGGTCTGTTTCTTTTATACTATAAGCAATAGGTCGTCTATATTCTGTGTATGGAATGATTGTATTAAAGGTGTTCATGTATTTCCGGCTTGGTTTATCTGACCTTGACCTCATTTTCTTGGATCTTAAATGTTAATGTGATACGTGTAGTAAAACTTTATATGGAGGACTATCAACATAAAATCAATGGTCAGTATAGTAGGCAAAACATTTCAGTGTGTGCACTCTTGTTTACCTAAGTAAGAGTAAGATGAAAACAAATGTGCATGTCATGTGTAAAAGTTTTGGCTGGGAAAAGGTGTTGTTATTATCATTTCAGGTATAAATTCAACTTCTAAATTTGTGAAAGTAATGAAAATATGTACAGTTGCAAAATATCTTTCTGAATTTTGTCATTTTGTCATTAACTCCTTGGAGTTTGATAATGAACAAAATATTTCTTTAGTAAAGTTGCTTCTGAAGAGAGCAACTTTGCTATTGTTCTGCTTTGTAGTTGCCTCATAGAAAGAATAATACAATGTACAGACAAATGAAATTAGGGTATAGGTTATATGAGCTTGCTCTATTGTGTTTTTTGAATATTTTTGCCAATTTGTTTTTGAAATCTTCCAAATGTTACCATACAGTAAAATTGAGTAAATACTTTAAGATTTCAAATGTGGATAGATGTATCATTGATCAAATTAATCAAAACAGTGACATTTTTTAAAAAGCACAAAATGTGTAGGAAACATGGATGTTCATTATTGACTGGCACTTATTAAAAATTGGAATATTAAATGACATTTATTATATATAAATTCTAGGCAGTAAGGTGTAGTACCTTTGGAAGACCAGGTCCTGTGTATTTAGATTTTCCAGGAAACATGATTAATCAGAATGTCCTTGAAAAAAATATCAGGTAAATATTACTAATTATAAAACTCCATGGAGAGACAAGGTTCTTTCAAGATTGTTCAATGACAGTAAATGTCATAAATTCTAGGCCAATACACCCAGCTAGGCTAGCTCACATAAAATGGTCTATGGGCAGACATGTTATTCCACTGTATTCTGTCTTCACTATTACTTGTAAATGCCAAGTGCTCGATGCAATCAAGCACCACTTAAGTATTTCCCCCCTGCCAGAACTACACACCAGATAAGCACTTTACCATGAGAATACCAAGGTTGTTTGTTGACAGATTCAAGATTTTTTTTTTTGTTAATATGCTTTTGTGGCCATAAAGAACGTTAAAAGGGTCAATTTTGCAAAGGTGGAATTGCTGCTATATGTCAGAGAAATCTAAATATATTATCACAATTTGGAAATTAATTTATATGGTAAAATCATAAAAAATGTCTTCTCAACTGCTTCTTAAAATTAAGGATTAAACTCAAACAATGATATTAAAGGATGTACTCAGGTCAGGTTTATGAATTTTTGTCAGATGTTTGGACTCCTTTGATTTTTCCTACGATACAGGGTAAAATATTTTGCCCCATATCACCCACTTTTCTTTCTTCCTTCACTACCAAAATTTAAGCAGATTCTAGATTTTTTTCTTTACGATTTGAGACCCAAATAATGCCAATGCTAAATATAAGGTAAAAGTCAGAGTCAGCCTTTTCCCTCCACTTTTTAACAAGAGTGCACATGCTGAAATGTCTCGTCTTCTTTACTAACCATTGATTTTATGTTGATAGTCCTAAATATAAAGCTTTACTACAAGTATCACATAAACTTAACATGATCCAAGAAAATGAGGTCAAGGTCAGATAAACCAAACGCGAAATACATGTACACCTTACAATCATGCAATACACCAAATATAGTTGACCTATTGCTTATAGTTTCTAAGAAACAAACAACCATGAAAACTTAACATTGACCACGGAACCATGAAAATGAGGTCAAGGTCAGATGATACCTGCCAGACAGACATATACACCTTACAATCCTTCCATACAACAAATATGGTTGACCTATTGCTTATAGTTTCAGAAAAACAGACCAAAACACAAAAACTTAACACTGAGCAATGAACCATGAAAATGAGGTCAAAGTAAAATAAAACCTGCGAGACTGACATGTACATCATAAAATATTTCCATACACTAAATATAGTTGACCTATTGCATATGGTATTAGAAAAAAAGACCAAAACACAAAAGCTTAACTTTGACCACTGAACCATGAAAATGAGGTCAAGATCAGATGACACCTGCCAGTTGGACATGTACACCTTACAATCATTCCATACACCAAATATAGTAGACCTATTGCTTATAGTATCTGATATATGGACTTGACCACAAAAACTTAACCTTGTTCACTGATCCATGAAATGAGGTCGAGGTCAAATGCAAACTGTCTGACAGGCATGAGGACTTTGCAAGGTACGCACATACTAAATATAGTTATCCTATTACTCATAATAAGAAAGAAATTAACATTACAAAAAATCTTAACTTTTTTTTCAAGTAGTCACTGAACCATGAAAATGAGGTCAAGAACAATGGACCTATGACAGACAGAAACTTCATAACATAAGACATCTATTTACAAAGTATGAAGCATCCAGGTCTTCCACCTTCTAAAATATAAAGCTTTTAAGAAGTTAGCTAACGCCGCCGCCACCGGGGTTCACTATCCCTATGTCGAGCTTTCTGCGACAGAAGTCACAGACTCAACAAAAATCTAATATCGCAAAAAGGAGTTCCATAACCTATCTATATTTTTAGCTTGTTTTGTTTTTACTTATGCTCTTCTGACGAATAGCATCAATTCTAAATTCTAGATTTTTATGCCCCACCTAGGGGCATTATGTTTTTCGGTCTGTGCATCCGTTTCGTTCGTCCGTCCGTCCGTCTGTCCCGCTTCAGGTTAAAGTTTTTGGTCAAGTTAGTTTTTGATGAAGTTGAAAGTCCAATCAACTTGAAACTTAGTACACATGTTCCCTATGAATTGATCTTTCTAATTTTAATGCCAAATTAGAGTTTTTACCCCAATTTCACGGTCCATTGAACATAGAAAATGATAGTGTGAGTGGGCAGGTTAAAGTTTTTGGTCAAGGTAGTTTTTGATGAAGTTGAAGACCAATCATTTTGAAACTTAGTTCACTTGTTCCCTATGATATGATCTTTCTTATATTAATGCCAAATTAGAGTTTTGACCCCAATTTCAGGGTCCCCTGAACATAGAAAATGATAGTGAGAGTGGGGCATCCGTGTACTATGGACACATTCTTATTTTAATTTCACCTATCTACATCCTTAAGCTGCATGGCTTGCTGGTACCAAATTTGCTGAAATTGTTCTATGAGGAAGGTTCTCTTTCTGAATTGCACCTTTTGATTATTGCTGTGAAATATTTGGCTGCATAAGTAATAGTTCTTCATATAAGCAAGGAGGAGCTAGTTCTAACATGGGCAATATATAGTCTTATTATTGATACTTGATGAACTTTTTGGGTCATGATTTGCACATAATTTCTGTCAATTGTAAATTGTTACTCAATACTGGTTACCTACCTGTTATGAGTAAGTTTGCCATATTCTTAAATTAGTTTATGACCCCAAACACCGCCAACTAACCATGAATTTATTCACATGCTTTTAATACTGATGAAAAGGTCTTCATTTAGATAATGCATATTAATTTAACAGCATCATTTTACTTACAAAATTAGTATTTTACTGTACTTCTTATGCTTCAACCAGGGACCCAAGGCAATTTGCACTGCAGGGATCACATCTGATAAATTTTCAAGGGTGGTGCTTATGAAATGATTTTTATAACTGTTGAAAAAATATTTATAATTTGTATACCTTTATGCAATACTGATAATTATAAAATATGTTTGTGTGTATGTATGTATCTTAAACCTAATTATAGTCACTAAAAATTATACTAAATAAGAATTATTTTCAAGCTTCTCTATCAAAATCTAAAAATTTAAGGTTAGTGCTGAGAAAAGCAAGAGTGGTGCTGGAAATTCATGGGTGGTGCTTCAACTTAAAGGGTTGAGGAGATTCCTTTTGATGATCCCACCACTGCGTTGTTAATTGAGTTTGAATTACTAGTACAACACATTGACTTTTTTTTCAAAGGAAGCACCAGTCAAACCTTATTTGAATAAAAGTGTCAAAAGACAATCCACAGTGAATACATAATGAATCCAATAGAACAATAATCAATTATACATTACTCTTGACATGCTTGATGGAAATTTTATAAAAAGATGCTAATTTTTATCTTTCAGTCCTTTTGTTGTATGTCCATCACCTCCATTGACCTTAGCTGACCCAGAAAAAGTCAGAGATGCTGCAGATTTATTGTACTATGCCCAGAAACCTCTTGTCATTATTGGTAAAGGTAAGAATACTTATTTTAGTTCATTTATATGTTTTGTAGTTTAGTGGGACGTCCATTTTCACTGAACTAGTACACAATTTTATTTAGGGGCCAGCTGAGGACCACCTCCGGGTGCGGGATTTTCTCGCTGCGTTGAAGACCCATTGGTGGCCTTCGGTTGTTGCCTGCTCTTTGGTCAGGTTGTTGTCTCTTTGACATATTCCCCATTTCCATTCTCAATTTTATTTATTAACTATATAAGTACGTCTAAACAAGTGACAACTCTACGATAGATCCATCCATTGGATCACCAGTAAAGGTAAAACACGGCTGAAAACACATATTATATTCATAATTACTCTAAATATCAGCACAACAATGTTAATCTGCAAATTTGCTGAAGCAAATTTTTGTTCTTCCCTCACCAGGATTCGAACTCATGCTATTGGGATATCGAGACAACACCGTCTGCACTGCATCCAGCGCTCTAGATCACTCGGCCACCTAGACTGAACTAAAAATTCTGCTTTCAGATTTAACATTGTTGTGCTGATATTTAGAGTAATTATGAATATAATATGTGTTTTCAGCCGTGTATCACCTTTACTGGTGATCCAATGGATGGATCTATCGTAGAGTTATCACTTGTTTAGACGTACTTATATAGTTAATAATTAATATATATGTATTTCACATGCGTTCAGGTAGAAAGTAAGTAGGGTTACAATTAGATACCTCAGTGTGGGTTGATGTTGATAGCGTCTCATCGGCTGAGGGTTTGTTAGATTTGTTAGATGTTTTTACTGTAAACAAGTTAATTTGATGAATTTAATTATTTATTGATTCATTTAAAATAAATTGTCACTTACATGTCAATCTTGGATTATTTTTTTATCTGAATACGATGATGTCATCATTACAAGGCTTAACATGAAAAATGATCTGTGAAAATGAGTTGGTTTACAGTATTTTCTTTTCATATAAATGACTTTTGTTGTTGTTTACAAGTTTCTGTTATTTATTTATTATGCTCACCTAAGACAGGCTGTCCCTCCATACATTTGTTTGTCAAGGTAGTTTACCATGAAGTTTGGTCATATCAACTTGAAACTAAGTGTACATGCTCATTATGATGTTAACTTTTTCAGTTGTATGCAAATTACAGTTTGACTCTGATTTTATGGTTCACTGAACATAAAAATGTAGTGCTAACAGGGCATTGTGTCCTAGTACATTTTCAGGTTAAAGCTGTTAACTATTAAATTGCTGTCACATCATCTTGAAACTTAGTACACATTTAACTTTTAAAATTATATGCCAAATTATGGTTTTGACCCTAATTTCATGGGTCACTGAAAAAGGATAATGATAGTGTGAGACTCATACTCTAATGCTAGTAGAATAAATTATATAATTTGTTACCTGTCACTTTGAAAACTGTAATAGATGGACAAAACTGTAAAAGTTATCGGCAATACAAGGGCTACAAAACTGCTGCTATGAATGAAACAATTTATCAACTTTAAATGAATTTGTTTACTTACTGTAGTGTAAATGACTTCTGTTTTTAAAACTATTATAGATGGCAGAAACTGTAAACAGCAAATATTATCAGCATTTCAAGATATCTACTATTAAATTTTATGGTATAATCAATGTAGCATAATTTTATGCAATTAGAAATTCAGGCTCCTTGGAGCATTTATATATTTTGTACCTCTGTAAATTTTATGAACCTGAAGAATTATTCCCCATGCTAACATAGATTTACTTGGTTGTAACTCTACTTCTCAGGAGCTGCATATTCACAAGCAGAAAATTCAGTCAGAGAGCTAGTGGAAGGTTGTAAACTGCCATTTTTACCAACACCAATGGGTAAAGGTGTACTACCAGATGATCATCCATTGTGTGTTGCTCCAGCAAGATCAAAGTAAGACTTATTTCTTGAAAGGAAATCATGACTTTTTTATTTTGTTAATTTCTCCCAGTCCTAACCTGCTCTTTTATTTGCGTAATGGGTACTCAAGAGAACATTTAAGGCAGTACTGAAGATGACTGTTTAGTCCTCAGGAATGAGGTTGATAAGCAAATGGCTTTGCAGATACAGTGTATATGGCCTTACAAATAAATGTTTTAGAGCAATAAATCAAAATGAATCAGCAACACAGAATGGAATAACAACATTTTTTGCTTATCAAAATTCACATCAGGACATTCTTTTATATTATATAAATCATACTGTGGTTCCTGTCTTTGGACAACTTGGTTAATCTAGTTGTATGAGTACTCAACCCTTCACCAGCAGCGAACATGATAATAGTAGCATTACATATGACAAAAACATAGGTACAAGTAAAACAATGCCAAATAACATAGTATAAAAAATTCTTTTGTTGCCTCTTTCAGAGCATTGCAAGAAGCTGATGTAATAGTGTTACTAGGTGCTAGGCTCAACTGGATACTGCACTTTGGTCTACCTCCAAGATTCAATCCAAAAGTCAAAATTATCCAGGTGAAATTTTTTATTTTCTATACATCTTCTTGAAATTTTATGACTTTAATAACGCTAGTAGAATAAATTATATAATTTTTTAACTAAAAAAAATACTAAGAACAAATAATTGTTTTAATGTAATATTTTACAGTTATATCATGCTGTAAACACCAGTCTGTTGTGAACTCCTTATGGTAGAACAGATAGAAAAAGTAAAGATTTTTACATATCAAGTTAGTTTATTTCACATGTCTGTCTACGGAAGGTTGCAATAAACACAAAATGTATGGAATAATGTAAGTTTACTTTTAATATAAAGTAGACTGAAAAAGACTATTTTATGATTTTAGATTGACATACATGCAGAACAGATGGGAAATAATGTACAGTCTGCTGTCTCTCTAGTAGGAGACTGTAGTGCTATAGTTCAACAGGTAACAACCATTTCAATGGCTGACAAAATTTTCTAATCTCTACTTTTTTCACATTCAGATTATAGAATTTTTTAATTACAATAACTAACTGCATCGAAGTGTTCAATTTAGATTAACTTTAATTGGATCTCTAAAGGTGAAATCAATGAATTTAAAGTATTGAATAAAAGGAAGTCAAATTCAACCAAATAATTAAATTGTGCATTCTGATTGAAAATACTGTTATTATATTTTTTTCCTCAGATAAATGAAGTTTATGGAAAAATGCCAGGAAGATTTGCTTTCAGTCCCAAATCACCTTGGTGGAAAACATTGACCTCTAAAGTTCAAGCCAATCAGCAATCAGTACAGGTAGAAAATCTTGCAAAAAAGTGCATACTCAACAATATTTACAAGAACATTTGTAGATTTCAGATTTGGATAATACAGTTATTTTCAGTTCAAAAAGGAAGTTTTACTCTGGTATTGCCATGTTTTTTCTTTAAAGGGGCATTAGCTACAAGATATAAAAAAAAATATGATTTTTTAATATCTTGTAGCTAATGCCCCTTAAAAATATGTGATTTTTTTTTGTTCAATCATTAATGAGAGTGAAATAGTAAAATAATAATTCGCTTTTAACAGAGAGTTTGGTTCAATTTTGTCTAAATAAGCAAAGAAATTGCAAGTGAATAATTTGACCTCATTGAATCCGTATTCATGTGAACTTTAATTGATCCCTATAGCAAGAGATTGGTTACCCATGAACTAGGCTGTTCAGTTATTAAATGGAAAAGAAAGTAAGCATTGGAAGTGAATCAAGGGTAAACCATTTTGATGACTGATACGATCTAGAAAAACTCATTCTTATACAGGTAAAAACCATTATTAGCATATTTTTTTGATAATTTGAAATCAAACAGACCTAGAAAAATCCAATTGCATGAGTTCGCAATCTATTTATATCTATGTTTATGTTTATATCGGGTTATATGAATGTCGGCAGTCTGCGGAGGTCACCTTGATGGTTAATAAGATGGCGTCTGGACTAAAATACACACAAAATGCTTATACATACTATCACATCTATGCATCTTAAATTGTTTATTTTAGACTTTTTATAATTTTGATATGCGTTTTAGTATGTTATAAGTCAAATGTAAGAATTTGAGTCAAATCGGTGAACATGAATTTGACAGCTATTGCCCCTTTAAAACTTTTATGCTGGTATTGCTATGTAATGTTTTTGGCAGTGACATTGTCAAAGAATATTGTATTTGTAAGAAGATAATATGCTTACATGGGTATAGACCCTCAAGATGCTGTGTCTAATACCTTGAAGAAAACCATTACCGTTGACCTCACTGTCACATAAATGATTTTTGATGACCTTTCAATGTCCATATCTTAACCATATATATTCGTGTTTGCCATGACAAGGCCTTTCTAGTGCTTTTACGAGTTTTTCACCAATTGGCACCCCCAAATCATATAATTAATTGTTGAACATCTAAAAAATAATTCAGATATGCACCACTAAACCATTAAAATTGTAACCTTTTGAGTGCACCATAGGTTTTGTTTCCTAGTGATATATCCATATCCCCACCCCTTATTATTAATTGTTATAAATTTTGAAAACTATTCAATCACCAATCCTAGATTATATATATTTTTTTTGTCATGCAGGGGATTGAACCCATGACCTCAAGCACTTAAGGAATGCATGCTACCATGAGACCACTAAATCAGTTTTCTTTTACCAAAGTGACTTCTACAGATTAAGGGAAAACATATGCTTTAGTTCAATCAAACAGTTTTTCTAGTTAAGTTAGAATTACCTTGTTTTTCGAGGGGTTTCTTATTAGTTGTTACACAATGATATCCTATTATAAAACAGTGTTGATATAGGTAACAATACTCTGTGGAATATGTTTTAAAAAATAGAAAAACACAGATTATATGACATGAAGACATTTTTGTTAATGTTGAATCATGAATACAACAATTGTTTTTTTTTAAGTTTTAAAGCATCATATTTTTCTCCAAATTAAATCACAAAACTATTGTTCAAGGTTACTTGTATATGTGAATATCTTCTGTTTAATAAAAATTTACAGCTTTTTAAAGACTGTTATTTTCTTACAGCAAATGATAGATGACAAATCTGTTCCAATGAATTACTTTGCTGCATATGATGAGGTTAGTTTATATATGAAATTGAATAGCTGTATATCTTTTAAAACTAAATGATTTGCTTAAAGGCTTATGGTTGCTGACTCCTCACCTTCATCAGGCATGGCTATCACCTTTACTAAGTAAAATTGAATAACTTTTGTATATGGTAAGCTGTTGTAGTTGTATCCTCATAATTTAAGCCCTTTGTAATTATTTTGGTATAGATTTTCTTAAAGATAAATGTTTGAGCTGACTCCATTGATTTTTGAGTTCTTAAAAAAATATAATGTAGAATTGTTCAATCATGGATTGATCATACTATTCTGTTTAAAAGGTTTTTGTGTCTATTACTTTTATATTAGATAAGATCACTACTACCAAAAGATTGCATTATTGTCAGTGAAGGAGCTAACACAATGGACATCAGTAGGACCATGATACTGAACAGTTTGCCTAGACACAGGTAACCTCAGGCCGGTTCTTTAAAGTATAAGCAATGTAAACAGTATGTACTTTTATTCTGCCTAGACAAAGGTAATCTCAGGGCTGTTTCAGAAAAGTATATGCAATATAAACAGGATATATTTTTAGTCTGCCTAGACACAGGTAACATCAGGGCTGTTCATTAGCAACATAAGCAGGATTTATTATTAGTCTGCCTAGACACAGGTAACATCAGGACTGTTCATTAGCAACATAAGCAGGATTTATTATTAGTCTGCCTAGACACAGGTAACATCAGCGCTGTTCATTAGCAACATAAGCAGGATTTATTATTAGTCTGCCTAGACACAGGTAACATCAGGCCTGTTCATTAGCAACATAAGCAGGATTTATTATTAGTCTGCCTAGACACAGGTAACATCAGCGCTGTTCATTAGCAACATAAGCAGGATTTATTATTAGTCTGCCTGGACACAGGTAACATCAGGCCTGTTCATTAGCAACATAAGCAGGATTTATTATTAGTCTGCCTAGACACAGGTAACATCAGGGCGTTCATTAGCAACATAACCAGGATTTATTATTAGTCTGCCTAGACACAGGTAACATCAGGGCTGTTCATTAGCAACATAAGCAGGATTTATTATTAGTCTGCCTAGACACAGGTAACATCAGGGCGTTCATTAGCAACATAACCAGGATTTATTATTAGTCTGCCTAGACACAGGTAACATCAGGGCTGTTCATTAGCAACATAAGCAGGATTTATTATTAGTCTGCCTAGACACAGGTAACATCAGGGCGTTCATTAGCAACATAACCAGGATTTATTATTAGTCTGCCTAGACACAGGTAACATCAGGGCTGTTCATTAGCAACATAAGCAGGATTTATTATTAGTCTGCCTAGACACAGGTAACATCAGGGCGTTCATTAGCAACATAACCAGGATTTATTATTAGTCTGCCTAGACACAGGTAACATCAGGGCGTTCATTAGCAACATAACCAGGATTTATTATTAGTCTGCCTAGACACAGGTAACATCAGGGCTGTTCATTAGCAACATAAGCAGGATTTATTATTAGTCTGCCTAGACACAGGTAACATCAGGCCTGTTCATTAGCAACATAAGCAGGATTTATTATTAGTCTGCCTAGACACAGGTAACATCAGGGCTGTTCATTAGCAACATAAGCAGGATTTATTATTAGTCTGCCTAGACACAGGTAACATCAGGGCGTTCATTAGCAACATAACCAGGATTTATTATTAGTCTGCCTAGACACAGGTAACATCAGGGCGTTCATTAGCAACATAACCAGGATTTATTATTAGTCTGCCTAGACACAGGTAACATCAGGGCTGTTCATTAGCAACATAAGCAGGATTTATTATTAGTCTGCCTTGACACAGGTAACATCAGGGCTGTTCATTAACAACATAAGCAGGATATATTATTAGTCTTCCAAGACACAAATAACCTCAGGGCTGTTCTTTAAAGTATAAGCAATGTAAACAGTATATATATTGTTAGTCTGTGTAGACATAGGTACATCAGGGCGGTTCTTAAAAGTTTTGACTACATAACTAGTATATGTTGTTAGCCTGCCTAGACACAAATAACATCTGAACTGTTTTTCCATGTATCAGCAACATAAATAGGATATATTGTAAGTCTGCCTAGACACAAGTAACCTCCAGACTGTTCTTAAAAGTATCGACACATAAACATGAATTAACTGTTTACAAAACTTTTAATTTTTCGAAATTGTAAGGATTTTCTACCTAAGAAATAGGTTATCATAGTTGTATTTGGCAATACTTTTTCGGAATTTTGGGTCCTCAATGCTCTCCGACTTCAAACTTTATTTGTCCTTTTAACTATTGTGATTCAAGCATCACTGATGAGTCTTTTGTAGATGAAATGTGCATCTAGCGTTCAAAATTATAAGCCTATTATCTTTGATAGGTTTTATTTAAGTCTCCCTAGACACAAATGTGTATAAACTCTGGGCTGTTTCTAAAAGTATCAGCAAAATAAACAGGATATTTTGTTAATCTGACTAGACTAAGGTTACCTCAGGGTTCTTTTGTAAAAGAATTAGCAATGAAAACAGGATATATTGTTAGTCAGTCTAGACACACATAACCTCAGGGCTGTTCTTTAAAGTATCAGAAACATAAACAGGATATATTGTTAGTCTGCCTAGACACAGGCATCACCAGGGCTGTTCCTAAAAGTATCAGCCAAATAAACAGGATATACTGATAGTCTTCCTAGACACAGGTAACCTCAGGGCTGTTGTTTAAAGTATCAGCAACATAAACAGGACATATTGTTAGTCTGCCCAGACACAGGCATCATCAGGATTGTTATTGAAAGTATCAGCAACATAAACATGACATATTGTTAGTCTGCCTAGACACAGGTAACCTAAGGGCTGTTTCTTAAAAGTATCAGCAACATAAACCGGACATATTGTTAGTCTGCCTAGACACAGGTAACCTCAGGGCTGTTGTTTAAAGTATCAGCAACATAAACAGGACATATTGTTAGTCTGCCCAGACACAGGCATCATCAGGACTGTTATTGAAAGTATCAGCAACATAAACATGACATATTGTTAGTCTGCCTAGACACAGGTAACCTAAGGGCTGTTTCTTAAAAGTATCAGCAACATAAACAGGACATATTGTTAGTCTGCCTAGACACAGGTAACCTCAGGGCTGTTGTTTAAAGTATCAGCAACATAAACAGGACATATTGTTAGTCTGCCCAGACACAGGCATCATCAGGACTGTTATTGAAAGTATCAGCAACATAAACATGACATATTGTAAGTCTGCCTAGACACAGGTAACCTAAGGGCTGTTTCTTAAAAGTATCAGCAACATAAACAGGACATATTGTTAGTCTGCCTAGACACAGGTAACCTCAGGGCTGTTTCCTAAAAGTATAAACAACAAAAACAGGACATATTGTTAGTCTGCCTAGATACAGGCATCATCAGGGCTGTTATTAAAAGTATCAGCAACATAAACACGACAAATTGTTAGTCTGCCTAGACACAGGCATCATCAGGGCTGTTATTAAAAATATCAGCAACATAAACAGGACATATTGTTAGTCTGCCTAGACACAGGCATCATCAGGGCTGTTATTAAAAGTATCAGCAACATAAACACTACAAATTGTTAGTCTGCCTAGACACACGCATCATCAGGGCTGTTATTAAAAATATCAGCAACATAAACAGGACATATTGTTAGTCTGCCTAGACACAGGCATCATCAGGGCTGTTATTAAAAATATCAGCAACATAAACAGGACATATTGTTAGTCTGCCTAGACACAGGTAACCTCAGGGCTGTTTCTGTAAAGTATAAACAACAAATACAGGACATAATGAACCCATTTCCCCTGTGAAGCCCAAATAACAGTAATAATATACTGCAGTGTCCTGATTCATACACTAACTGCCGTTTATCTCTTAGCCCATATCCCCTGTTTAGGTAACTCAAATTGCAGGATCAACTGGGATATTTCACTCTAGTATAATACAAATATACATGTCATATATGTCTGCCTAGGCATAGGTAATCACTTGGCTGTTCATAAAGATATCATCAACATATGAAGGATATCATATTTCTGTCTAGACTCAAGTTTTCACTTGGCTGTTCATAAATGTATCATCAACTCAAGTAAGATATATCATATATCTGCCTAGGCACAAGTACTCACTTGGCTGTTCATAAATGTATCATCAACTCAAATAAGATATATCATATGTCTGCCTAGACACAAGTTTTTGCAAGGTTGTTCATTAAGGTGGTATCAACCTTAGGATATATATGTCTGCCTAAATACAATTATCGCACCTGAGATAAATTATGATCATATGATTGGTTTAACACAGTCACGTGTTGACCCCCTATGGATCCGTATTGGGTCAGTAGATTTCATATGGGGTTCATGACGTCACGCTTACTGTTAATGGTGACGTCATTTGTTGATGTTGTATAACATCGTTTATTTTTCTACAGAACGTGGCAGGAAAAGTTCTGTGTGCGATAAATTCGTTATACGGTTCTCTACTGACCCCCTACGGACTATAGAGGGTTAGTAAAATCCATAGGGGGTGAGGCCGAAGGCCGAATCTCCTATAGATTTTACTAACCCTCTATGGTACGTATGGGGTCATTAGCAAACCATATAACTTATAGTATTCATTGGGCTGTTAATAAAAGTATCAATAGCTTGAGTAGGATAAATATGTCTGCATAGAAACAAGTAATGACTTGGCTGTTCATAAAAGTATACAACTTGAGTAATATATAAATATGTCTGCCTAGACACAAGTAATCTCTTGGCTGTTCATAAAGGTATCAACTTGAGTAGGATATATATATATGTCTGCCTATACACAGTTATTTGCATGGTTGTTCTTAAAGGAATTATCCCCATAAATAGGATATATCATTAGTCTGGCTTGACACAGGTAATCAGCAGGTTGTTCTTCAAAGAATCACCAACATAATAGGATATATTTATATACGTTTTACTAGACATAGGTAATCACTGTGTTGTTTTTTAAAAGACATTGGTAACATAGAAAAAAACTAGAGTCAGTCTAGACACCGGAGTCACACGTTTGTTTTTATAGGTAATAGCAACTTAATTAGGATAAGATACATTTTTAGTCTACTTTGTCATATGTTATCACAAGATTGTTTGTGGAAAGATTGGAACAAATTTCCCCTAAGGTATCAGCCTCTTCCACAAGGATATAGCTGGATTAGCCACTAAATATATTCACTCTTAAATACAGTTTCCAAGACTTCTCATGTCTTAGTAGATGTGCACAAATGAACTGTAAAAAGGGGGGTAATATCTTTACAGCATTTTATTCAAGTATGAATGTTATTAGTTTTGTTATTTTGCTGACTATCTTGGTATTTTTTATTATGTAAAAGTGCTTATACAGTACCAGTACGATTGACAAATGTCATGACCAAGAAACAATAAGACACAAAGATTGAGTTTTAATAGGAATCCCATCCTCTTTAATAATTGACCAAATTACCTACCTTTTGAGTTTCATACTTTAGCAGACACTTTATATTGATGTCAATAATATATCATAGATGTTTGATATGTAGAAATAATATAAACTCATCATAGACACCAGGATTAAAATTTTGTTCGCCAGACACCCGTTTCGTCTACAAAAGTATATTTAATTAGTTGCCTATTACCTTGATTAACGCTTCTTAAAATTAATCTGTAAATTATAATTATTATATCTCAAAGATGGATGATTAACAATAAATTAAATTTATTTTATAAATGCAATTTCAATGATTGCATCAGGACTGACACATGAAATCAAAATTCAATAAACATCAATAGAAAATTCCTCTTACCATCCATCATGTCCATATTAAAATTATTTATGGCTAATGGAAAAAATCAGTGCACCTTCTTGTATTGTGATATTAAAAGAATTTTCCTAAAACATTTAAAAATTTTCCATCTTTTGACAATGTAATGAAATTGTTATAGGTTGATTGTAGAAATAAAAAAAAATCTCTATGCCAGCCTTCAACCATTCTCCTTCAGATTCGCACAGCTTTTTATCAAAATCAAAAAAGTACTTTTAGGAGTTAAAAATGTGAGACAAAGGTATTCCTTTAAAGTCCCTCAATGTATTGATCGCATGTTTAGTACAATGATACACCTTTTTTTAGAGATATATTTATTTCTTTTTGAAAGCTGAGCATGTTTTGATGAACAAATTGAATTACAATTTAAAAGAAATCTGTATGCGAATTTATTGACACATTTTACGATGACACACATTTCACTTATTTTTTTATGCTTAAAAGGTGTCCATCTTTCTAAAGACACTAGTTAAGAACTGCAGTAATCCGGTAATGAATCTTTAAGCAATAGTGTTATATAAGATTTTTGTCCAATGCCATATCTCATTGGAAGACTAAAATATGATTTTAAGTTATGCATATAACTCTTCCAATCTTGCCACCAGTGATTTTGATCACTTTGATTATAGGTAATCACAACATAAATTTGACATATTTTGATAGCCTCCTTAGATAAAAGTAATCGCCAGGTTGGTTATTCGTTAATGTATCACGAACACGAATAGACAGACTTGATTTATCTTTTAGTTGATATTGGCTCTGAACTAGCTTTCAGCAACTGCGAGTACTCTTATTTGGTACTTTTTGTCTTTTGTCATTTCTTTTGGGAGTGCTTCATGTCAAAATGATGAGTCAAGTTCTTTCTAACTGATTTGTACATTTTGTTCTTTTGTTGTGCTGTTACACCATTATCCCATGTTAGGGTGGGGTTTAGCTCTTACATACATGTTTACCTTCACCATATTCATGTTGTGCCTATCTAAATGCAGGAGCCTATGATTCAGTGGTTGTCGTTGGTTGCTTTGCTGTCTACCATATTTGTATTTCTTTACTGTTTTTAGCATGGTTTTTTTCTTATTTTTTTAGCTCACCGGGGCCCAAAGGGCCGCATGTGAGCTTATGCCATCACTTGGCGTCCGTCGTCGGCCATCGTCTGTCGTCGTCGTCGTCTGTTGTCGTCTGTCATCATCTGTCGTCGTAAACTATTTCAAAAATCTTCTCTGAAACTACTGGGCCAAATACCTTCAAACTTTAGCTAAATGTTCCTTAGGGTATCTAGTTTATAAATTGTATCCGAAGTTTTGATCCATCGACAAACATGGCCACCATGGCTGAAAATAGAACATAGGGGTCAAATGCAGTTTTTGGCTTATATCTTAAAAACTAAAGCATTTAGAGCAATCTGACATGGGCTAAAAGTGTTCAATTGGTCAAGATCTATCAGCCCTGAAATTTTTAGACGAATCGAACAACCCATTGTTGGGTTGCTGCCACCGAATAGGTAGTTTTAAGGAAATTTTGCAGTTTTTTGTTTTTGTTATCTTGAATATTATTATAGCTAGATATAAACTGTAAACAGCAATAATGTTCAGCAAAGTAAGATCTACGAAAAAAGTTAATAAGACCATAATTGTCAATTGACCCCTTAAGGAGTTATTGCCCTTTAAAGACAATTTTACACAATTTGTTCATCAAGTTTGCTAACATTTAAAAATCTTCTCCTCTGAAACTACTGGGCCAATTACCTTCAAAATTTAACTAAATGTTCCTTAGGGTATCTTGTTTATAATATGTATCCGAAGTTTTGATCCATTGACAAACATGGCCGCCATGGCTAAAAATATAACATAAGGGTCAAATGCAGTTTTTGGCTTATATCTCAAAAACTAAAGCTTTTAGAGCAAATCTGACATGGGGTAAAATTGTTCAATTTGTCAAGATCTATCGGCCCTGAAATTATCAGACGAATCGAACAACCCATTGGGTTTCTGCCACCAAATTGGTAGTTTTAACAAAATTTTGCAGCTTTTTGTTATTATCTTGAATATTATTATAGATAGATATAAACTGTAAGCTGCAATAATGTTCAGCAAAGTAAGATCTACAAAAAAGTTCATCTGACCAAAATTGTCAAATGACCCCTTAAGGAGTTATTGCCCTTTAAAGACAATTTTACACAATTTGTTCATCAAGTTTGCTAACATTTAAAAATCTTCTCCTCTGAAATAAAGGTGAGCGATTCAGGCTCTTGAGAGCCTCTTGTTCTTATTTTTTCAAGGTGCAGACTTTTATAGCTAAATATGCAGTATGGTTTTGCTCATTGTTGTTTTCACCCTCGTTCTTTGGTCTCTGGTGGATAGTTATACCATTGGCAATCATATACCATCTCCTTATTGTAAAACGGGTATTCTCAGAGTTGATCGTAAGGTGTCAGTAGCATAGATAAGACCAGAGTCTTCCTAGCTGTTTTGAATTTTCTTTGCATTTTCATTTTCATGTGATGGTAGTATGGATGACACAACTTAGGAAAAGCTTTCAATTACCAAAAGTCTTGAAAATTTGTGAATGAATTCAGCAAAGTCTTGACACAAGTATCAAATTAACAATGTATTAGTTTGTGATTAGGTCTAGTTCATGTTGAACCACTAGTGGTAGGTCAATGATATTTGGTATGCAGTTGTATTAGCATTGGCACATCTCATTACCATGGAGATTATTTGGTCTCGCCCCCTCAGTCAAGGTCTATTGACTTTGAAACTGTTCATAGTTTACATGTATTAGTTTGTGATTAGGTCAATTTATGGGGAACCACTAGTGGTAGGTCAATGATATTTGGTATGCAGTTGTATAAGCATTAGCATATCTCATTTCCATGAAGATTATTTGGCTCCGCCCCCTTAGCCATGGTCTATAGACTTTGAAAATTTTGCTAAGTTAACATGTATTAGTTTGTGATTAGGTCAGTTCAAGGGGAACCATTAGTGGTAGGCCAATGTTAATTGGTGTTAAGTTGTATAAGCATTAGCACATCTCATTTCCATGCAGAATATTTGGCCCCTCACCCTCAGTCATGGTTTATTTATTTTGAAGCTTTTGCTTAGTTTACATGTATTAGTTTGTGATTAGATCAGTTTAAGATGAACTGCTAATGTTAAGTCAATGATGTTTGGTATGCAAATTTATTGGCATTTGCAAGTATCATTTCCATGGAGATTATATAGCCCCACCCCCTCATCATTGTTCATTGACTTTAAAACTTTTACATAGTTTACAAGTTAATGTTTGTGTTAAGGTTTGTTTAATGGGAATGACTTATAATAAGTCAATGGTATTTGGTATGCAGTTGTATTAGCATTGACACATCTCATTCCATGGAGATTGTTTAGCCATGTACCTTCAGTCATGGTTCATTGACTTTGAATATTTGCATAACTTACATGTTAAAGTATTGCTATTTTAATTTCAACATTTGCATTATCAAAATTACAAAAAGGCGAGACATATCTCTGTGATAACAGTTTATTGTTCAAGGGGGGGGGGGGGGTACTTTAGAAGTAGTAACAGCATTAACGGTAACATTTGTTCTGCGCATTTCGACAATAAATGTCTCTCCTGTGATGCTCAAGATCAAAACTTATTAAGAGCAATAGAAGGTTGAGATAACTGTACACAGCAATAATTATCAGGAAAATAACATCTACAAATAAAACATGACCCAAATGACCAATCGAAATCTTGAAGGAAAAATTACCCTTCAATGGCGATTTTTTACCAATTATTCTTGATTTTTGCTATTATCTTGAACAGTATAATAAAGAGAGAACAAAAGCAGCTTAACTGATCAGCTAGACAAGATATACAAATAAGACAACGAACCTTAAATCATCAGTCGACCACTTTACACGTAATTGGAATCAAACAGTGATTTTTTTTTCAAACTAGGGCTTAAAGGCCATGTTGGTATACGTCATAAGACGTCATAAGCAACCCAACGATACAAACTGTATCTTAACAGACTTTCAAAATATGTTGATTCTCATTCGCTGCTGAAATTAAAGCTTTGAACTATTTCCATAGGTTAAGATGATGATACCTATCTGAAACATTAAACTAGCTGATAAAAAAAATTATTTTCACTTTAAAGATTAGATGCTGGAACGTATGGAACAATGGGTGTAGGACTTGGATTTGTTGTTGCTGCAGCAGCTTGGTGTAAGGATCATACACCAAATAAAAAAGTCGTATCCATTCAAGGAGACTCAGCTTTTGGATTTTCTGGTATGGAGTTAGAGACAATATGTAGGTATGAACAAAAGTATTAGGAGTTTTCTACAAGGCCATTAACTATTGATGAATTTCAATTTCAGCATTTCAATGCAAGTATGTTTTTATTTTCCCTGCCTTCAAGGTTAATGATATGGAAATGCTGATGCCCGCTGATGTAAGCGGTTCTCATCATATTTCAATAAATGTTATGTCAAAGTATCACATAAGTAATAAATCAGACTTAGGAGTTATGCCCTTAGAAATGCAATGTTTTCAAAAGTAATAGGCTGATAATTAAGTTCCACAGATGCATGTTTGTCTATACAAAGCTCACCAGTAGCGCTCAAATTCAATCAATTAGAAGGACAAACAATGACGAAGTTGTGACTAATCTGGCTAATGCCATCTAAGCCTTGGGAGAAAAACCTTAGTGTTTCAAATGATGGTTTAAAGGTTTATGAACAGTAATTAAATAAAATGACCGTATCAATGATCAATGATGTTTCAAACTGACATTGAAAGCGCTCCAATACTACTCATTAGATTTCGATCAAACTAATGTCTTTAAGTTTACATGATAAATAGAATTGATTATTTTGTGGAGACAGATACTAATACGATATGTAAATAATATCTAAATCGACATGGTAAGCAATCTCACACCTACAGTTCTCTTTTGAGTTAAATGTGATTTATTTCAAAGTGATTTGTGGTTGAAAATTGGAGTTGATTGAATTTTTTTGGGGAGGTATGCACAATGGAAATGTAAATTATATCGAATGTCAACATTGTGGAATCTCTCACACCTACATTCCTCATTGGAGTTTGATAAATTTTATGTCAACGGTTAACAACAGCAATATCTTGAACAAGATAGAAAATCGGTGCTTATCGAATATATCTATATATTTGGGGATTTTTGTTCCTAGGCGTATGGCATACAAACTATAACCCTGGTATCTTTGGTGGGTTTTTGTTTATGGAAATGTAAATACATGTAATATTTATTTAACGATAACAAATATTTTTATTCAATAAAATTGAGAATGGAAATGGGGATTGTGTCAAAGAGACAACAACCCGACCAAAGAGCAGAAAACAGCCGAAGGCCACCAATGGGTCTTCAACACAGCGAGGAAATCCCGCACCCGGAGGCGGGCTTCAGCTGACCCCTTAACAAAAATGTGTACTAGTTCATTGAAAATGGACGTCACACTATACTCCAAAACATATAAATGAACTAAAATTAAAAAACATACAAGACTAACAAAGGCCAGAGGCTCCTGACATGGGACAGGCGCAAAAATGCGTCGGGGTTAAACATGTTTTGTGAGATCTCAACCCTCCCCCTATACCTCTAACCAATGTAGAATAAACACAACACACAGCAATACGCACAGTAAAACTCAGTTTAAAAGAAGTCCGAGTCCGATGTCAGAAAAGGTAACAAAAGAAACTAAGCAAGATGACAATGATACATAAATTAACAAAGGACTACTAGCAGTTACTGACATGCCAGCTCCAGACCTCAAGCATTTCCTGATATATAAATACCTAAGTAGCCCAGGTCTCATACTTAGTAACCCCTGTATTTTTAACAGCCTCACTTGACAAGGGAAAATATCAAATAATTTTATACTCCAACAGTCTTACATACATGTATTTAAATAATTGTTTTTACCTGATAAGCATCATTGTAACACATAACCATTATCGTATATCCTGTTCACTGACTACCACGTGTTGATTTAACATTGAAAATTATACATGTGATTGATAAAAATAAGAATTATAAAAAATTAATCTGAATTTTAAATTATTGATGCGATTGACACAAATTAGATATTAAACTGTAATATACTCATGTATGGATTATGAAAGGATAAAGAACATGTGGTAAGTACTAAAGTAGTATGAAGCATGACATATGTGGTAATTTACTAATATACATAATACAGTACATATGCACAGACATAAATTCAAATATTGATTACAATAAAAATATTAGTTTTCTTTCTGTCAAAAATATCTAAATATTTTCACCATGTTTACCCTAAGAAACAATAAGTTAAGATTATTACATATGGAATCGAACACACCTTTAGCTTAGAACAATATAACTAAGTACCTTTTCCTATATTTTTTTATAAAGAGCTCAACTTTCGCTCTGAATATATACTTCATATCCGAGCGTAGCAAGAGTAGTTTTAATTCGTTTTTCGTGTGCAATTTCAACAAAGCCTTACAGACTGCATATTCAGTTTAATTTCATCGAATTTGCATTTGTTACGTACTTTCCAAATAGCCCATTTAAAATAAAGTATTATTGTGTTAACAATTGTATTATTAGAATTATCTGTACAGATTTCTAATAGAATATCTTTTTCAACACTATAATATTAAAAATCAAAATTGTATATGTTTCTCATGCTCACATTTCTCATTGAAGTTTAATGAAAATAATGTAAAAAAGTTTACCTCAGCAATATCTTAAAAATTTGAGAATCGTTTCCAATCGATTATTATTGGGAGACTTATCCCATGAAAAGTGGTAGTAATTTAGAAAATCAACCTTCTAAGTATTATTACACCTACAGTCCCTTTGGTATCTTTTGCCTCTCTTTTATCGGAGTATAATGAAACTTATGTCAAAGGTTTATATCAGCAATATCTCAGAAAAAGCTGAAAATTAGAGTTGATAGAATATTTCTTTGAAAGGTAAATGATATGGAAAATCAACATTGTAAGTGCTCTCTTGCCAACAATTCTCATTATAGTTTGATGAAATTCATATCAAAGTTTTCATCAGCAATATCTCGGACCAGTTCGAAAATCAAAGTTGATTGAATTCTTTGGGGGAGTTATGCCTTGTTCAAAGTTTCCGAGAGCAATATGGTAAAAGAATTATTCAAAATAGGTACAGATAGATATCTTTTCTCACTGGAATGATACCCCTTGGAATCTTAAGTGATATGGAAAATTTCAGTATATGGTTGGGGAAATTTTGCTACCTTGTAGCAATCCTGTTTGCATAAGGAATTCATAAGCAGATTTAGATTTTTTTATAATCACGAAGGAGAAAGCTGTTTTTCAATAGTTTAGAATTTCAATGTCATTATGAACACAAAATTCAGTCAATTTCACATTGTACATTTGCAAATATCGGGATCTACATCTGCTTTATTGAGATTATATGTAAGTATATCTACTATTGGTTGAAAATTAGGACAGGGTTATTTTTAAATATTGATTTGCCCAAGCAACAGCTTCGATTTCTTAAAACTTATTAAATCAAAGTAGGTCTTGTAAAATTTTAGAGAATGAAAGGTTTAACTATGTAATTCAAGTCAGAAAATACAATGCACTTTCAGATACAAACTGCCAGTTATAATGATAATTATGAACAACAATGGCATTTATAATGGATTGGATGGAGAGTCATGGGAATCACTACAAGATATGGACCTTCCTTTAAGGTAATTTATCAAATACATGTATATATAATACATGTTTAAAACCAATAAAAAAACAACACATTTCTTGATTATTTCATTGATATTTTGAATGATGATTTCATACTCATTAGCGCTCGTAACAAAAGTGTTTAAAGACAATCTATGCCTAGGAGTAATATAGCAATATTGTTTCTAGTTATCTTTAATTTACAGTAAACATATTTCAATGAACTTTTACAACCATAAATTCTGAAAAAGTTGTGACAAATCTATCTTATGCCAAATATAAGTTTTTATATAAGGGGCATTTATTATCCCACATTTCGACTTACTACAATTTAATTTGGGCAAATTGGTCTGGTATTCTGTTATCATTTATCTTCAGCTCTTATATTCAATTCTTAGATGTCTGTTCTTTTAAAAATACAAAAACGGCCAACAATGAAGCATCAAATACACCTGTAAATTAATTATTCCTAAAGGATAAATTTTCTATAGAGCATTTTAGTATTGTATCCATATATTTAAAATATTTTAGCCTTCCTCCATCATGTTTGACTGTTGATGCTCATTATGAGAGAATGATTGAAGCTTTTGGTGGCAAAGGATATTTTGTCAGGACTGCAGCTGAATTGAAATCTAGTCTGACTACAGCATTAAACAGCAAAGATCAAATCTCACTGTTAAATGTGATGATAAATCCACAAGCTCAAAGAAAACCCCAGGTAAGTTCTTTTGGTGAAATTATTTGTTTTTAAATAGTTTTAATTTCAAAATTTCTATGGCACAATCTGTTCTCGACACTTTATTTTCAAGTTTTTCTTTTTCCTATTTTGGATCTCTAAAGACCAAATTTGCCTGATAGGAAAGTCAAATTCGGGAATATCATATTAACTAGCAAATATGAATGCATTATGAAGATGCTGCTGGAATGTCGCTATGTAAATATGGATGATTACAATGGGAAAATTAAAATTTATCATTTTGTAGTGTAATTCAATCTCAACGAAATCTCACGGTTGATTTATAGGTGCATGTAGGTCAGGGTAAGAAGAAAACCTTAGCTAACACTCATATCCAGTAAAATTTTCTTAAATTATTTTAAAGAAAGAGAAGAATTGTGTTTTCATGGTTCCTAAACAGAACCTTTATTGCATTAAAAATGTTTTATTGATAAGTTGCTGTAGCAGGCAACACATGTCTTGTGCGATTGTTACATTTCAGAACTTCCTACCACTTGAAGCATACTTTATCTTAATGGATAACTTTGATGGAGAAGCTTTTTGGTTTTCAGATTTACAATGTCGTTTTTTTGTTGTTGTGTATAAGATGAATTTTACAGTAGATATGTGTGGCGTGCATAAACATTTTCCATTTTGTTACATGTTGATAAAATTTTAACAAGCTAGAGATTTACTAATTATAGAATATTAAGAATAATGACACATTGTTTGCTTTTTAGGACTTTTTCTGGCTGACAAAATCCAAGATGTGATAACTTTATTTTTATGTTTGCTGCTTATGGATTTAATGGAGAACCATGGACAAACGCATTGTGTAATTTAAATAATTGTAAATTCTAATATTTTTAATCATAATAATTAGAATGATAATTATATTGCCAATTACAATAGAATACAAAAAGAAAGTAAAAGTACAAGAGAAAATTCAAATAAAACTCTTTTTAACCACCAACATCATTGTGAACTTCCAATGATGTAACAGACATTAGAATTTCAAAAACTATCATATATTATGGTGTTTTTTAAGGAAGTATCTGAATAATAGTCCAAAAAATGCTCCAATCAATATGTTATAGATATCAAAAATTGTCCACTTTACCAAATTCCAGAAAGAACAAAAGTCTTAAACTTTTAACACAAGACAACATATGGCTAGGTTACATTTAGTTTTTATTATTTATCTAGATTTGTATCTTCTTACAGGGTTTATGAGATTTGAACATTGGTAAACTAATGTTGCATCTAATTTACAGACATGATTTGTGTCAGGCTGAACTGTCTCTTTTTATATATAACCCTTAACCTTGTAATCTAAATCATAGAATAACAGAAAGTACATGTAAGAACATACACAAGAAATCAGGTGAGAAAAACCTTGTATAATAAACGATAATAACACAGGTTAAAGCAAGAGCTTATTAACCATAAAACTTATCCCATCCATAACATTATCTTAACATTGTACCTCAATGCAGTCTTATATAAATGGTATCTGAGTTTGCCTATTACAACGTTACTGGCACTAGTATCTAACAACATTATAGGTCACATTTCAATGACCCGAAGTCATGAATGTTCATTATTTTAGGTTCTTTCAATCAAAAGCCAGACTAATAAATGGTATTTGGTTTGTAACACAAAATAATGTAGTTGATTGAACTTGATTCAGTTGTTTACCTTTTAAAATTAATTTCCTAACAGCTAGAAGCGGGAATAAGATTGGTTAAAAAAAACATTTATTAATATTATTGATCTCTAATTCCCACCTTCTGTAAATACATACCCAGCAAACACAAAAACATCTTTAAAATGTTTTTAAAATGTTGTGTCTAATGTCATGAAAATATCACAAAAAAACGTGAGAAAAACATTAAATGTATGGTAGAATATATATCGCTAAAACGTTTTCTAAAATATTTTTCTAAAATATTTGCATAATATAATTAAAATGTTGTAAAGAAATATCATGATAATGTGAAAAACAATGGCGTATAAAACATTTTGATAATCTTTTAAAAAACATTTTCTAGAAATATTTTCTGAATGTTTGAAAAACATCATGAACATCAAATAATGTTATAAAAATGTGTTTTGGATGTTTTCTTGCAAGTCAGACTGTGCCTAAAAAATGTTTTCAAAATGTTTTAAGAATATGTTTTTGGTTGATATTTAGATCATATCAATATAAAAATTTCTGTACTTTTGATTGAGTTTCCTGCTTTTTTAAATAACAAATCATTAGTTAAATTAATTTATACACAGTGATTAATTCTATATACAAACAAGAATAAATCAGTTGTTTTGCTTAGCATATGAAATTCACAATTCAAAGTCTCTAAAAACAAGAAGTATCTACAAATTTTGACACATCCAAAATGGCAGACACAACTCATCATGGTCAAGCCACTTACCAAATATGAAGTCATTCTGTTCATCAGCATTACTAATTAAGTAATGAAAAATTTGAGAACATTCAACATTTTGAAATACAATGTATAAGCAAACAGGAAACAGGTGCCAGATACAAAAAATGTTCACACATCACAGTTCATCACTATCAGGCAGCTCATTAAATATGAACTCATCTTTATCAGCAGTTTTGGGAAAAACAGTGATGAAAATATTTGTTGGACAAAATCCGACAAATATAGGTGAACAGACGACAGACAGTAAAAGAAAGCCCACATTCCAACCACAATGGTATAATGTTTAGTTTTTCACTCTCAACTTTTATTACCTATCTTACACACATCATGCATATGTCAACCTGAACATGCATGACATATATGCCATTGGACATTATGCAAACATTATACACATTTTTAAGTTCAAGTTACATTGACTAAAGCTTGTGTCCCAAATTCAGATTTTTCAATATAACTTCTCTTTCTAAACTAAAACGCTACACTTCTAATAGGGTTACATCTTAAGTCAATAATCATTGATAATTGGCTGAAGAGATGAGAACAAAACACCATTTTACATCAACTATTTGATTTATTTAAGAATACATTGAAAAAGTCAATCAGTTGTCTTATTCAAAATCACTTGGAATGTCTTGTAGTGTCTTATATCTTTTCCTTGCTGTGCCATGCTTCTGAAAAAAAAAATTAATCTTACATTCATATATAAACTTCTTGCACATTCCTTTATTATAGAACGATTCACGTTGCCTGAAGGATATACATCCCCTCCCCTTTAAACTTTTGAAACAAATAACGATGATAGTCTGTCGGAAGGGGACGATAAATGGCTGACCGTGTTAAGAGAGAGCAATATGCCACGCTGAACTTCATTTAGTTATTAAAAAAAAACACATAAATAACTTTAGACTAGATTTTTGTGCAGTCAAGAGTCATTTCATTATACTCGTTGATTGTTGTCTATCATATTTTTTTTCTTTTATTGTTTTGTATAAATCAGGCTGTTGTTTTTCTTGTTGTTTTTTAGTTTTCATTAAATGCATTGTATCATGTAGGGGCCTTTAAAAGCCCTGCTACATAATGTCATTAAACATCTTATTGTCCTTTTAAGTGTTAAACTATGTAGAGTGACATAGTTTATAACTTGTCATTTATCTAAGGGTATATGATACAGTCCTAGAAGTATACTATAGGCACATTATAACTTATCGAAGTGTTACGCATTGTTTTCGCAATGATGATAATAATATAACTTAACTACCGAGAAACACACAGATGTCATTAAATGAGTTGTTTATATGTATTTGAAATACTTCAAAGGAAAGCAAATATGTTGTTTATGAAAGCATACTGTTGGACTAAAAGATTGATTTAAATAAACAACTTGTTTCTATTTTGTCACAAAAAAAATAATTTATTCAAATATCCAGATATCTTTTCTGTATTGTATGCCCTTAATCTTGAATGTAATGCATTGTTTATGCTAAATATTTGAATTAAATATGGAATAACAGTAATTCTGTATAAAAATCTTACTTCAAAAAAAAATTCTCCTGAAAGGTTGTAGACATTCCAAAGAACCTGGGACACTTCCAAATTGTAAACCTGCATATTGAACTTGTCCTTTGTGGCTTTTTTTTTTAGCTCCTGTTAAAAAATAAAAGATACATTGTATGTACATTGTGTGTATGAAGCAATAAATATAATTTTAAGCAACAGTTTATATTATCTTGCTCGTACTGAAGTCTTGCATAGTCTTTGTAATGTTCATTAAGCTGTTAACACCGTGTATCATCTTACAGCGGATATAGGTACTAACCAAGTGGGCATGAACGATTTTGAACTGACACGGTAACGAAAATCTTTGTTTTGTTTTATCAACATTCAGTGTACATTTCTCAACATCTGAAATTCCTGCTCCAAAATAATTTTCGCATCGATTTTTTTCTATTTATAAGACAATTTTTATATTCTAATAAGAACAATTAACTTGTAAATGCGCAAATAGTTGTGAATGTCAACACCAACTTTCAATTTCAATACAATTGTCGAGAAATTTACATGTTTTACCTGAAAGAAAGCTAATACATGGCAAAAGTAATAGTTACCAATCATAAACCTACCTGTGATTACTCATTCCTTGAAACTTTTTGGGTAATAAAAGAGTATGAAAATTTTGTTTTTGTGTACGGTGTACAGCAACTTAACTATGCACCGTACAGAAGGATTTATGTGGTCAGCTAAACACCGTACACAACGCTTCTTTTCGGAATAAAATATCGAAAAAAACATATGCATGAAAGATTTCAATGCTAATTATTGATACAACTATACTTATTACACATGCACAGTGGCCTTCTATCAGAAAAAGAGTTGCAATGAATATAGAATTATATCTGATGAGACGAGTGCCAACTTCTTTGATAAGTATTTGCACGTTTTTAGTAATCGTTCTTGTTTTGGGAAAATAACGAGACATCTCTAATCATCAACCTACGACCAAATCATTTCTTAAAACAACAACTATGTTTAGATTGAGGTACACATTGATATTATGTGAACAAAACAAAGATTTTCGTTACCGTGTGAGGTCAAAATAGATCACGCCCGCTTGGTTAGTACCTATATCCGCTGTACTGATGATACACGGTGGTTAAGGGAAATTTAATTTACTGTTTTGCAAATACATACATACACTGATTTTACTAGAAAAAAAAATCTCAATATTCACATGGTGCTTATATTAGTGTTATTGTAACTTGTTTGTGTGCCTCGGAAACAAGGTATTGAGTCATGCTTATTGCAATAGTTGTTGTTGGTTTAAGTCGGTCAAATTTCTTTTTCATAATGTGTATTTAATGTAGGCAGTTAGTAAGTTGTTTTGTTTCAATTGTGTTGAGAAAAATTTAACATTTGTTTGTCAAGGCTTCAAAGTGGACTATATGGCATTGGTTTTCTCAGTTTTGAAAGCCGTACAGTGACCTATAATTTCTTTTATCCAAGTCATTTAAATTCTGGTGGATAGCTGTCTCATACACCTTATCGTTATTTCAGTATTTGGAAATCTGTCCCGCTTGAACTTTTTACGTCAGCATACGTCATACAATAATACACCTTATCCCTATTCCCGCTTGACCCGAGAATCTATCCTGCTTGAACTTTTGACATCAAACAACAATCACTTTTCCATTGTGGCATCAGATATTTTTTATGATGTCAAAATTTTAAGGGAACTTGTGACAGTTGTGTGATGTCCAGTAATGGCGGACAAATAGCGATAAGGTGTATTACTTTCAATTGTGGTGTCAAATATTTTCATATATGACGTCAACATTTTATGGGAACTTTTGTGATGTCCATGGTCAGTAATGGCGGACAAATAGCGATAAGGTGTATTGGCAATCAAACACACAAGCCACATATCCTTATAATTTTTTTATATCAATGAACAAATTCATAATTGGTGTACGTAGATGCTTGAACAGTGGCGGATTTAGGGGCCCCGACCCCCTTATGGAGCTACTTATAAGATAAATGTGTAGACTATTTACAAGTATCACTCCAAACGTTTGCTTGCCTTGGTCAGGGGCCCCCTTTTTTCAAAACCTTGATCCGCACCTCCAGAAACAGATGTAATTTGGTTCCGATTATGATTGAACACACACAATGAATGCACAAGTTTCATCTCAACAGATTAATCATTCTTACCAAGTGAGTATATATCGCGTAACAAACAAGTTTCTTGTCTCTCTTTGTTGATATCCTGTCTTCGTTTCGAAATTCAAATTTCTAAATCATTTCCGGTGATAAAACAAAAGTCGATTCCGGAAAAGGTCGGTTTTCCGTAAGGCATATAAACCATACGAAAATTGAACTTAGTACAGTTACAGTTTTCATTTCTTAATTTCTAAAATATACACGAACGAAATGAATAAACATCAAAGAAAGGTGATTGTTTATTAATACATTATTGCTTAATTTAATGTTGACTCTTTTGAATTTTAATATAAAAAGGAATAAAATCTGACTTCAAGGATCTTCAAGATATCAAGTAAGGATTTCAACTTTAGTATCTTGCTTGTCGTGATATTGATGAAATGTAGTAAAATATCTTATCCTGAAAAAAACGAGCTAATTCCACAAAACGTTGTTTGTGGGGTTTTGAATAAAGTTTAAATAAAATGTTATTTTTATATCCGTAAAATGTTGAATAAAATATCAGTAAGACTATTAAGTAATGTGTATGTCAGAATATTTTATAGAAAACATCTAGCTGATATTTTTCAGATGTTTTATGTAAAACATTTTAATTTTACGTTATAAAACATTTTATGCAAATAGCAAAACTATATT